ATTTCCAGAAGTGTTTGGAGTTATATGTAAAAGGTTTTGTCTCGGAGGCTATTTTTACATGAAATATGGGCAAGTTAATAAATGACACACTGTAAAAAACCGCTGTACACCAAAAGCACTCTAACTTAAACGTTTAAGCAGATCAAGCTCACGTTTTACTAACTTTCTGTAAAAAGAAAGGATTTTTTTTACAATAATTCCCTGTTCTTTGCAGGGAAATAGAAGATTAACAGGAAGACACTTTACATTTTACAATATAACAAAGTTTTTTTCCTTGTTGACGGCCTGGGAGTCATGGAAATGTAACTGCTCGAGTTCAAATAATTAATTTGGAAATGCTGTGAAGTTATTTCAGTTATTTTGTGTTTAAAAACAGCATTTAAGGTTGAGAACATTCAGTGTCTTTACACTAATAATTTAAAGAACTGTTAATTTACAGCATAACACCCCATCGTAACACATTATTCACGCAGAATACAAAACAAAAAGTAAGAAACTTGTTATTACGGTAGACACACTGTAAAATACCAGTTTAATGCTGTCAAATGACACCACCACTACTTTACTGTAATTTGACGGGGAATTTTGACTCTGAGTACTGAAAGCAAACTGGGACACTGGTAGGTGGAATGAGCATTGTAACATAATTAAAAGAAAATCAGGGAAATGAGGTGTGAGTGAGAAGTCAGGACATTGGACCCGTGTACGCAGCCCAAAAATGGGCTCCCATGGCCTATCCTAGAGCGCAGGCAGGATCATGGTGTTTGATGCAATGACGGCCACTTCATTATAAAAGCCTCCTCAAGTCCCACGCTGCATTCCACGTTTATGGGGAACATATGGGGAAGCCTGCAATTTTTAGACCACAAAATAAGCCCCTTTGCAGCTGGACGCACGACCGCACTGAGTCCTTTTTGCTTGCGAGCCACACCCGAGAGGCGTAGGACCACTGACAGTGATTAAACCACCACAGTTTTCTCAGCAAAACAGGAGTTATATTAAGCTTAAATACAGGGGCTTGATAAACAAGGCCTGGGCAGGGGAAAAAAAGAATTGAGAGGAAGACGGCCACAATGATCTTGAGACTATTTTCCCCTCACGGTCATGGGCAGTGCAAAGCCATGAGATACATTTCAAAACATGAAGCAGATGTTTACCTAGACAAAGAAGAAAAAACACACAGTAGACTGAGGCCTCGACTCCGGCGCTTTCTTCAAATGTCAAGTTTGGACAGCAGGAGCTAGTTCCCATTCTTGCACAATGCTGTGGGATGGCTCTTTGCATATATATGTGTGTGTGTGTGTTTTTGTTTTTTTAGCTTTTCCTTTATTTCTCAGTAAAAATCCAGATGCAGTGTCTTTGTTTCCACAAGCGGACAAAAACAAGGAAATTGACAATAATCTAAAGCAGTCTGCCTTTTTGGAAACAAATAGCAGAAAAATATATTTCTCACTTTAATGAAATCTGAAGAAGAAAACATGACTTATTACCAGCAGCATGTCTCGCTTGCACAAATACAGCCACATAAAATGATTATAAACCGAAACAACCACGAGGCTCTGTACTGTGAAACCAGTACGCTGCACTCCAGCAAACACGGACGAGACCAACGCAGAAGGCGGGAGACCCCCGGCTCCAAACCAACCAAACCGAACCCCCGCCTGTGACCCCAAAGAAGCTAAAAATTCTAACTGACACTCATCAAAAGTTATTCTTTTTTTTAAAGAAACAAAACAACATTTAAGGTTAAGGTTTGGAGATGGGTTGGGGTCCAACCTCCTTGGGCTGAAGCTCAAGACTCTAAAGTATAATACAGCATAAAGGTCTGGAAACCCCGTCTGTGGACTTGCAGGTTTTGCCCTCCGGGCCTGTGTGACAACACTACCTCTTGTTCAGCAGGGAGACATAGAGCTGTAATCTGTCAGGGCTGGCAGGCCAGGGCCGAGGCCATGTCAGGAGGCAGGAGAGGTGTTAGAAGAGGAAGCTCCGCTGTGTGTGAGGTTAAGTCAGAGGCCTATAGTGGCCGCATGGACGGACTGATAAAAGCCCTGGGGCCACGGCTGTGGCCTCAGCGTTCGGCCACACTCGCTGACACGCCGTGTCATTTAGCCCGCGCTGCCGCCTAACTCAACGGCAACTGCTCATTTACAGGGCAGTGCGGCCTACCAGGAAGAGCGGCAAGCTCTCCCTCTCTCTCTCACACACACACACACACACGTTCAGAACATGGTACTGTATATACACATACAAACACATGCTGTGGTCCATGCAGCAGGTTTGTCCAGCAATTAGCAGATGTGGGCTGACATCCATACACAACGAGGTGTGAAGCAGAAACAGAACAGAAACATGCGCACACACACGCACACGCGCGCGCACACACACACACAGGTTTCCAGGGAAAGCGAGTGGGTCACATGAGTGACCAGACGGTGGTTTGGGTCTGTTGTCCCATGGCCAGACATGGTCAGTGTGTCACTGGGAGACAGGAGAAAGGAGAGAGGAAGTGAGCATCCCAGAGGTCTGCAAATGCCAGTTATTTGCACACACATGCAGATGCTGTGCTGCAAGATCGCAGCCTAACAGTATGGCTGCACACAGTAACTCTGCTAACGAGAGCCACCACGGGTAAAAAAAACGAACTCACATGGAAATATTAAAAATAGTTTGAGTATTTCCAATACGCACATGAAGAGCTATCTGTCTAAGTAAGCACGATTTGCATAGTTTCCCCAGGAGATGTAAACAGTGAATAACGTCAGGTGCAAAGTTCATTCTGAAACTTTCATTTTAGAGCACGGTTTCTTTTTTTGGTACAGTCTAAGGTTGAAAAAAGAAAAAAGACATAGAAAATATTTTATCTTTCCTTCATAAATAATAAAACACTGTCAAGAACAAAACAGAAAGTTTGAGGCTATAGACCAAATAAAAGAACGTTTGGTGTATTACAGTCGAGGTGATGCACAGCCAAGTGCATGTGAACAAAGTCATTTTGAGAACACAGCTTAGATATGGAGATATGCACATGCATCTTCAATAGAAATGAAGTGACAGATAACACCATGAAAATTTACTCAGTGATGATTCTATCTCATTAATTATGCTCTAATTTGCATCAATATCACCTGATGGTTTTATTTTGATATCTTCTTCCCACCGGTCTGAAACAAAATATACCGTAGAAACAAAATCTCTGTTAACTATCTTTTTGCCTGTCGTGCCGCGCCTTAATTTCTCTCGCAGTCTGAAACTACATGAACCATTTCCTGTTTTGCTCATAACTACAGATGAAACTTCCAAATAAATAGTTCAAAATCTCCAAAAATAACACAATATGTGATATGCTATCACATATTGGGCTCACGCCGTTCGGGTAGTACAAGCAGCCACATCAGTGAACACTTTTCCGTTCTTAAATTCAACCCAGAAAATGAAAAAGTGTGAAAACCACAATCAGGTTAAATCGCTTTGCACTTTCACAGGGGAAAGAGACTTCAGTTGCCCGCAAATACTAAAGTTTTATAAAAATATCTTTTGTATTGCATAAGGAAGTTCAGGTTAGAAAAAAAAAAGGGACGCATATAATTAATATCTAAAGATTTTGTGACGTGGACACAAAGTTTTATTTTTGCATTATGCAGGTTCAGCTGTGTGAGAATTTAATGTACATGAATATAAAAGAGGGCAAAATAAAGAGAGAAAAAAAGGGAACTTCAAAGGCTGATGGCAGAGGAGAGAACCCGGGCAGAGTCGAGCCGTTCGGCTTCTGATGAGACTAAGATTATGATACTATCAAGTGGTAAGTGAGGGTGGAGGTTTTGCAGGCCCAAAACCACCGGTTCTTACAAACACAGATGTGCCGTGAGTCAGACAAACATAAAACTAGCACAGGACACACATACACAGTATACACAGCATGCTCAGTGTTGTTCGGCAGTTAGAGACAACACTTTCCTGTCTCCTCAAGCCACAGCTATCTCTCATTTTCTATTTCTCCTCATCTGATTCAGTCCTGTCTTTTTCTCTCTCCTGTGTTTGTCTTGGGCTTAATACATCTGAATGTCTCTCCAGCTCCTCTGCAGTGGTTTTTAGTGCTCTTTCTGCAAACCTCAGTGAGCCACAGCGACGCAGGCCGCTGCCTGGTTTGAACTCAAAAGAAAATAGAATATTTCCAAAACTTGGACGACCAATGAAAAGTGAGAATGAAGACGGCGAGTCAGAGAAGAAGAACCATGGAAAGTACAACCCGAAAAGAGAAACCAGAGAAAAGGCAAAGACGATAGGAGAAGACGGGAGGGAGGGGAAGGAGGGTGGGAGGGAAAGGCCCGGTGACCTCACGTGACATGTGACGTGGGCTCCACCACTCACGGAGGGGAGTGTGTGTCTGTGTGGAGGATGGCGAGGAGGATGCAGATAGACTGTGGCTTTTAGCCTTTTACTAGCACTGACGCTCCAGTCAGGCCGCCACCATCGTGGAAGAGAAAGAGACAGACCACGCTAACAAGCTAGCTGGCTAACCTCAGACCTTCAGGCCGCTGACAGACCACCACAAAAGCGGCCCCCCGCCCCCGTCAGCCTGCTTACGCCACCCGGGCACCGTTAGGTGGGGCCCCCTCTTATCTCCAGCCCTGGTGAGTCCACCTCCGCACCTGGAGACCCAAATGTTGATGCCTGCCTTTGTTTAAACTGTTTTTCTCTCAACCACATTTGCTGTTTCTTCTGTTTCTTCTTTCTTTCTGCCTCTGACCCTCTTCTCTTCACTTCTCTCTCTCTCAAATGTCTTGTGGTGCTGCTGCTAACACATGCTGCTGCTCTCTCTGCAAGCTTGTGGCTTGGGATTCCTGTGGTAGTCACAAACCCTAGATTCTTGGTTGCAAAGAGTCTCGGAGCTCCAGGAGTTTTGTCCTCTTGTGCTCTCCTTCCTCCCTTCACTTCTTTTTATGCTACACTTTTATTTTTGTGTTTCAATCCTCCTGTTTCTTGCCCCCCTCTCTCAGAAGTCTGTGGAGATTGACTTCAGCGAGGGCTCCACACCATTCTGGCTTCTCTGTCATGGCATCCAACAGCATCTTTGACTCCTTCTCCAACTACAGCAGCAGTCTACTAAGAGGTAAGTGCTGATCCTGCCCTCTCCACTCTGCTCTGCTCACCCTCTGACCATTGTTTTCAACGTGCAGTGCTGTCAGTTTGACAAAAAAAGCACTGACAGTTCCACAGTGAAATGTGAGAGTTGCTTCTTGTAGCGTTTGAATGCATTTATCTGTCTGTCACGTGTGCTGTGAAATAGGTTCATAAAGGAGGGTGTGATTTGCACAGTAGCTCTCATCTGATATGTCCCATAAAGGCCTCTCAGCTCCTGTGTTTTCTGTAGGCTTGATGGAGTAGCGCCATAATGGGATTCTCACCACAGACATTCATTATCAAGTGAAACTCGGCGCTCTCTCAGTGAGAATACGAGCTCAGAGGCTCCATGTGACTGGGCCCCTTACTGGAACACGGCAATACAATAAAAGAGAAAAGAAAAAACATATTAGGCTCTCTCTGCTTTACTTCCAGGAGGTACTTTTGGTCTGTGCGGTGAGGTGAGTGCACTATGCTCGGCGACGAGCCTCAGTGAAGAAGCCATTTGTTGCCATGGCAATTCCAATCAGGCGGCTTTTTATTTGCAGTTAAGCTCTCGAGATGGAGAGCGAGAGCGCAACGTTTACCTGATTTCAGTCCTCATCCTGTTTATTCCCATAAGTCGTGAAAAACACTGAGACGAAGCAGCGTTGACACTCGAGTTGTTAATTCGACAGGGGCCGAGTTTTTCTTACTGTTCCTCAAACAGCCACCGAGGCAGCCGCTGAGAGGCAATAAGGAAAAAAAGGAGATACCCCGCCCCCCCAATTAAGGCCTTGTTGCCGTGTTAATTAGAGACAGCCACAGGAGAAGCACTACCAGTTGGTAATTGTTTGCAGAGTATATCTTAAAATCTGCAGAGCCTCACACACTCTGTACATCTGTGTCTCACATGAGAGCAATCCTCTGATATCCTCAGTGGAACCGCAGTGACAGGAGATGATGTTCTAGTGTTCTCACAGCTTCTACACACACTCAGGCATTTATAGTTTCCTCATGACAAGCTCAGGCCCCCCTTTTCTTCTCTATAACCGCTGGATCTGCATCCCTTTATCTCCTCACCGTTTTACAGATCAGTGTGTCACCAACTTCAGGGTTCACGCCTGCTGTCTTTTAACCTCTAACATAATGTGCTTTCGGCGGACCTGATTTTCTTTTTGTTTTTGAACCCTAGCAGAGCACTGAGGTGGCAGAAGGAGACAGTAGGTCAGAAGGGTGGGGAAAAGAAGAGACGAGCATTTAAAATGGTGATCAACCATTGGAAATCATTAGTGAACATGCAATATCCTTTTACAATTCACTCTGTCAGGAGACTGAAACCGAACTGCACGAGAACAAAGGCCAAGACTCATTAAATCCCCCAGTTCAATCTGAAAGCATTTCCAACCAGGACTACCTCATGTAAGCAAAATACTCCAGCGGTTAGTTTAACAACTTGCATTACACAGGCAAAGCAATTTGGCCAATGCTCTCTTTTTTAGACTCAAATCAAACTGAAATTAAGAGGAACGGTTACAGAAAATCAAGAAGACTGTTAAATGTCTGGCTTCCTGAGCTCTGACTTTAATGCAGTGTGACGTGAAGCTTATGGAAATACTGCATTCATCTCCTCAGATGTCAGGAAATACTAGCATCTTATTCATTTAGAAAAACACAGTCATCCAAGATCATTCTGATCTTTAACATGTCTTGTTGTTTCAAATCATGTTACATTTTCATTGGAGCTAAAAAGAAACAAAGACTGTAACAAAAATATCAGCACCATACACAGACGGTTTCGGTCTATAAGTGTTATTTCGGTAACTTTAGATATTTCAACCGATCTCACAGAGCAGACAGACGACACATGTGATGTGCAACATCAGATGCACTTCGCGTGAGAAGCGAGAGGACGCCTCACCTCAGAAACCTCAGTCCTCCGCTAAAGTTCATGGAGACACAAACACACACTGAGACACACATGAGCGCACAACACACGCACAAAGGGAACAGACACCGTTGCTCTCGTCAACTTTAACTTTGTATAGATCACAAGAAAAAGCTAATAGTCTGATAGCACGTTGTGAAAGAAACAGGCAGCAACGGGGAGAGCTTTGCGACATGGTAATCTGATGCAGACTCGCAGAGCTGCTGCAGTTTGCTGATAAAAACCACAATGAGGCTACACCTGCTAACCCTTACACATCAGCACCACTATTTAATCAGAAAGCAGCATTTCTGAGACCTTTTGAAAAAACAAAAAAACCCAAAAAACTCGGTAGCTCCTAAAAAAAACACTGGACTTTCCCCCCGTGAAGCAGGGTTGTATAAACTTTACTGACTTTTCCGATCCTTAGTGCTGGCAGCGTTTGCATCAGGTGGGGTACCTGCCTTACAGCAGCTGTGTGCTGGGTCATTTCCTTGGCTCAGTAGCTGTCACCACATTTCCCTCCACTTGGAAGGGCCGCTGTGTTCCCTGCAGGCTGTTTTACATTCAAGAGTCCCATTTGATTTTTTTTAACACTCTTGGAAGCCAGCTCCCTTTGTGGCGGAGAAAAAGGCCTCAGTTTATTAGGGTGGGAATGGTTTTATATGTTTGGCTTATTGAGCTGCGTGAATTGAAGTGAAGGCTCGTATGTGAGAATGAGTTGTATTTTCGAGGCTTCTGGGAGGTGGTCTTGTTTGCTCTACAAGTGTTAGAAAGGGGAAAAAGGCAGTATGAGAAAAATACCCTTTATATGCATCAAAATGAATCATTCACAGAGGATAAAACTTACGATGAATTTCTGCCTCAGAACCACTGACAAATAAAAAGGCCTTATACAGTAGCTCAAAAAAATGGCTATAAATTTAACTGAACACATGGCCGGCCTCTGCTGAATTTATTAATAACAAGTCACATGGTGAATCTTTTTTTCTCCTCTCTTAAATTAACATGCTTGATTGGAGCCCGTTCAAAATCCTGCCGAGTGCGAGGCCCCCGAGTGACGCCAAAACAAAAAGACTGGCTGAGCCGGCTGAAATCTGTAACAAGATATTAAGAGTTCCAATATTTTAAAGTGAAAGCAAATAATAGAAAACGCATGACAGCCACAGAGCGGCGAAATCCTGTCTCCAATTTAGCCCAGTGTAATATCTATTTATAAAACTCTGAAGGCATATTGGATGGAAGCAGCGCTCTGGACTTGATTAGGGCTGTAAATGTTTTTGGAGGTACTTATTTACTTTTTGGTCCGTCTCGCTGCTTTCACCGGCTGTCAACACAACGTTATGGGGCACACTTTTAGTGGGAGGAGGTGGGGAGCGGGAGGGTTGCCAGTAAGATGGCTTCCAGGTAGAGCACGCAGAGGGGCGTGCTGATTATGTGGTCGACTAATCCTAAACGTGCCTCCGCCCTTGCAGACTTTTGGCTGAAAACAGCGGCTCTGCACTGGTCAAGGTTAAAGCTGTGTTAAGTGTAGTAGTAAATACAATTTTCTGGTGGTTAGCAAGCGACCACAGGGGCCAAATTCTTTGCAGCCAATCTGATAATATGGATTTTTGTTTTTAAAGGTTTCTCTGACTTTAAAAAAATAAAAAAGCGCTCTGAAAGGTTGAGCAACTTCTTTCAATAAACACTCCCGGCATGTTTCTGTGAATCTGCTGGAAAGTAAACTGGAGGTGTGCTGGCTGCGAACCGGCATCCTGCGAAGGGTGCAAACGATCCGAGGCTGCTGCGCGACTCGGCTCCTCGCACGTTAAACTCTGATCTGACCATGCATTGCTGCTGTGAAAGCAATAAACTTCCTGCGGGTGTGTTACCGAGAGAAATCTGACGTTTGAAGCAAGAGAACTGAAAATGCACTATAGTCTTACATAAGAATTACAGAGCGTTTTTTTAAAAAATGACTGAAAAATTTCCTGATATGATGCAAGCGATGTCAGAGGAATTCATGATGTCTAGACCAACTTCTTCGGGAACAAACTATATGTCTGGAGGAAAATATGCAGACTTGTAATTGGATAATGAGGTGGAAATGATCACAATATAAAACTCTCGAGCATTATTTCTAAAAAGTAATGCCCATACCGGATGAGTCTCTTCAACTTTGGTGAGTCATCTCTTTACGGTTAATTTGCTTCGCTTACGAGCTGATGATATTTCATACGTTAAAATGATTAAATCCAAACTGTTATTAGACTCTTCATGATCTCATTCATCCTGCACAGCGGACAGATAAATTAAGGAAAAGCTCCTCTTGCAATTTGGCTATTTAATTTTGTTTTAAACCTACGCCCTAAACCACAGGCCGGCCTCACAGCTTATTACATGGTAAGGCTGGGATTGCAGAAAAAACAGGAGTATTATTGTTAGCTAATTTATGTATTATTAACCTAAATTTATGCAGCAATTATGCCGGTGCATGGAATTTGCTTGCAATTTTCGGCAAAACTGGAAATAAGATAAACAATTCTTAGTAAAACCTGAAATAAGCATTTGTTTCATCACAGGCTTAGTTTGCTTTCAGGGATTTGGCTACAATTAGAGAGCCGTGTCCTGCGCTTGACTCAGATGAAGAGGACTTGTTGTTCGGACCCCTCCCTTTGTCGTTAGGCTGATGTTGTCGACAGCATCTCTTCTGCGGCAGTAAAAGAGGTGAAGCAAAAACTGCCTGTGACTAAGCACAACGCCGATTCCTGCGCACTTTTGTTTTTGACATTACAGTAGCATTCTAACCCACAAATTACTTTAATGGGCAGGCATGGGTCTGCGCCGCGGCACATAAACTGACTCAAACTTATGGAGATCCCACATGTTCAGAAACATATCAGCAGGCAGAAACTTCTAATTTTTTTTTTTTAAATGAAATGGCGAGCAAAGAAAGAGTACTTTATCATGTGTGAAAGGTTAGCAAAGATCTAAGGCTCAGAGCAACTCATTCTGTCACCATCAGAAGGATTAAAGGCAGTGTTTTTCACAGACAAAAATCCTTCCTCCACACTGAATCTTCACTTCATTATGACCAACTTTAATCATGCTCAAAACATCCTTATAGCCTATCCTCCTTCCCATAAGCAATAAAGAAAACACTTAATTACGGTGGAGGAAAAATGCAGATAATGATAGGATGTGAGCGGCTGCAGGCAATGAAATGTTTTCTGATTCTCTATTTTCCTCCATTTTCCCAGAATTTTTTTTCTTGACTTGTTTACATACAGCTAATTGTCATTGCTGCAATAAAACATGTTTTTTGGGTTGCTTCTTCCCTCCCCTCAAACATAACTTTAACCACAGGGAATTGATTTTTGTGGAAAGAGCATTTCAAAAATGGGATTTTAGTTTTCTCTCAGGCTCATCGGGGGGAAACGGATGAGTAACGATGCTGCAGTAACGCGCCAACTAAATGTGCTTTTTGTCTTTAGCACTGAAGAGGGTGGGGGTGGGCAAATTGGGGAAAAAAACCCAAAACAAAGATGTATTACTATGACCAACATATTACTGAGGAATTAGTCAGACATCGTGGGAAAAACGTACTGTCTGAGATGTAATGACTGATATCACTCTCACATAGTATTGATACTGCCAGTTAGCTTAGCTTAGCAAGTGTGGCAAACCTGCGTCTGGCTTTAACAGTTTTATTTCATTGCTACAAAAGCTAAAGAATAATAATGACAGTTGGCATCATGTGTCTGACGGCTCTGTGGTCAGATTCTGTGTCTTTTGAAGCGCTCAGCGACGAGGAAGTCGCAGCGTCTGGATAAGAAACAGTCTGACACTTGCCCCCCTCCCCCCCTTGTAAAAGCCAAAATTAGTTTTACGCTTTGTTTCTCAATTAAGTTTTTTCTTCCAGTATATTTCCCAAAATGTCTGACTACTCGTTTAAAAAAAGATGTTTCCTTAAATTAATTTAAAATTACTATCTACTTCCTCCACAAATGCTGCCCGTATATTATTCCCGTATTTGTCTACATTGTGAAACTTCATGCAGAATTAAGATAACGATCTCCTGTCCCTGTGCTGCAGCAGGTTTTTGCCCTAAAGTAAACTCAGGGAGCCTGTACTTTCTCTGCAGCTGCTCACTTCTGTATTATTTCAGTAGGAAACACCATGCCAGGGATTCCCCCTCAGCTGTGCAGCAGAAGTGGCCCCTCCATTTCTTCTCCTTAGTCTGTCTGCACTGAGGTCACTCTGTCTGCTGCAAATACCGTTCTCACGATTGCAGCCGTCACGAGCGTAAACGTACAGACCGGCGGCGATGTGTATAGGTTGCGTGCACGCACATATCCAAGTCCACCGCCAGACTCCTCCCCGTGCTGACTCAGAGAGGACCGTGCATGTCAACATGATGACTTTGACGTTTTCCCCGCTGTAAATGCTGTCTGACCTCACCATAATAGCTGGTCAGGACTAACATATGGTCTCCTGATGCCTTAGTCCAGCAGAATTACCCACATGGTGACTAAACACACACAGGACTTAACAGGAAAATATCAGCAACCGCCTTCATGATTTTATAAGGTGTTGCAAGCTTAAAAAAATATTTAACCGACTACTGTGTACTGTGGTTACTACTGTAATGTCGGGACTGAGATGGTGGTAACCAAATAAGCATTTCCTGTGAGACTGTAAAACTTTGAAAATCTTGTGACTTGGAAAGAGACTCAATTTATTTTATCCTGTTAGATATGAAGTGTTGTAGAAGTGGTCCCCAACATCTGGAGTTGGGCTGCCCCTAAAGCTCAGTAAGGAGGAGTCAAGAACCTTTTCAAGAAATGTTAAACTACATCTTCATCACGATGTGTGCTTTCAGTTATCAAAATGTCTCATTCTACTGGTGGTGGTCAGAGGGCCCGGTGGCGCCACTGTCCGGCAGCCTCGCCTCTGTCAGTGCGCCCCAGGGTGGCTGTGGCTACAATGTAGCTTGCCATCACCAGTGTGTGAATGTGTGTGTGAATGGGTGGATGACTGAGTGTGTAAAGCGCTTTAGGGTCCTTAAGGACTAGGAAAGCGCTTTACAAATACAGACCATTTACCATTTACATCTATCCATCCATGAGCTGAAGACTATTTCGGCTGAATTCGGGTAGGAGGCAGTGAAATTGAGACAACGCCTAAACCACTGTCTCAGGTATCAACAGGAACTGGTTTACTTACCTTTAGTTGCTACTCTTTATGTTTAGTCATCAATTTCAGATTCTTATCAATTGTTTTAGGCGACATTTCAAGATGGTTTCTTCTGTCTAGCCCTTTCAACCACGAATCCATACCGGTAGCTAAGAATTTTCCAAATTGTTATTTAGAATTTTAGCTAGCTCTTTCAACATGGTTAGCCTCTAATTAGCCACAATGTTAGGTAACAGTTTCATCTGATGTATGTGTACTTGTAGTAAGCGATTTCAAGTGTTTTTTAGCCCTTTTTGACTATTTGTTATATATTTAGCATCTTTATTTTGGTCATCTGTTCATTTGTTAACTTTTTTTAAATAGCTAATCTAGCTTCTTGCTACATGGTTATCTAGCTGATTGGTTAAGGCTACGTTAGATGAAGTTCTCAGCTAAATGGAGGCATTCGTCTTTCCACTTTTATAGTAAGACAGCCGAATCTGTTAACACTGCCAACCTGGCAGAAAGACGTGTGTGTGTATGTGTGTGTCAGACGAGCCTGATGGACGTGAACACAGCTTTTCCCCTTTAATCAGTGTGATGACATAAGAGGCAGACAGCAAGCCAGTCTTTCAGTCAGTATAAAGTTTGATTAACCTAATCACCAGGCAGCCAGACTCGAGGCTACTGATTGGGTTTACAAACGCTCCTTGTCATCGTTGTGTCATTAGCTCGTCGTTAGCTGTGGCCGCCTTGACGTGGAGCAGCGACATGCCGGGCGTAAACACAGCAATCAGGGGATTAGAGTGCAGTTACAGCAAAGCCTCGATGGACGCCTCAGGCTCTGAGTCAAAGAAGGGAAAGTCCTGCCTTAGTATGCAAGCTCCACGTGGCCGGGGTGCTAACTGTACTCGGGCAATGCCACTGCTGATTAGTGATGGAGATGATGAGAGGAAACATTCAGTCACTTCAGACCCGCGGATGGTTTCCTGGAGTACAATTATACCTAGTACTTGACTGGCGTAATGACTTGAATGGAAGGACGCTAGTGAAAATAAGTTTTTGCCTTCAATTGAGTTTACTTAATCTAAAACTGGGAATCGACCCAAAAAAGACACACAGACACATGGCTACATGCAAGACTGAGTGACATTTGGAGATAATTCACTTTCTTTTGGATTACTTTGTAATCAATCGCAGTGATTGACAATAATCATTTACTGTGCAAAAGATTAAATTTATGAGGGATGACAGTATTATGCATCTAAGTGCTTTCCAAAACTGTTTGGCTTGCAGGCTGAGGGCCACCACACCCTTGTTTCCTTACGATGAAAAGCCCAGAGGGCCAGTCGAGTACTTTCCAAGAGTTGTCTCACGTCTGCAGAGGAAAGTGGCATGGACACTTGTCAGGAAACCAGCGCCGGGTTCCTGTTCAAATCTGGTCGAATTCTGCAGTGAGTCAGATGGTGCTCGGGAGGCTGACCCTCTGAAGAGGGAAATAAATGCAAATTCAATATTTGGGGGCTCTTTGAAGTCTCTCTGCACTTGAATGAGTGTGACAGAACCTGGAATGACCCTCGAGAGAGAGTCCCTTCAGCGACGAGAGGAGCTGGAAGAGACGAACGCTGATGACAACAGCTTAAAAGTCAAAAACATGAACATTGTCTGGATTTGTGTGTCCCCGTAAAGCGACTTTGAATGTGTGCACATGCACAGCGAGCAGTGATGACTAAGGCTTTTGATTTTAAATGCACAACACTGCTAATAACAAAACATTCGTGCGTTTTGCTTGTCAGCATTCGTGCCGTTCGTGTCACACGTTACATACCTTGCCGTGCTCCTTCACAGTTTAAAGTAACAGAAACCTCGTCTCAAAAAGTAAAACATGTGGCTTTTGTTGCAGAGAGGAATGAACAACAGCATTCCATGTGCAACCACATCAAAGGTTTCCCTCGCCATGGGGCTAAACGAGGGCAGACTGTCTTGCTCGCCCCTCCTGTCACGACT